TAATCAGCCTGCGAACTATGAACCGAACCACGATTTTGCCTTAAAGCGTGTCATTGTAAGACCTACCTATTACCGCAAATTCTTTCTAAGTATTCATATTTCTAAGTGGATTCTAGCCATTCTTATCATTGCTCGTGTTTTATTGTCGCCTACTTTGCTTATAGCGCCTTGAGGCTATGGACATGGGGAAATCCGTGCAATCCGCAACTGGTGATATTGGCTTCGCCGTTCGCCTCTTGCGCTACTATGCCGGTTATGCGGACAAGATTCACGGCAAAACTCTGCCAGCCGATGGTCTGACGGTGTCATGGACGATTCGCGAGCCTGTAGGGGTGGTGGGGGCCATAGTGCCTTGGAACTACCCTTTCTTCCTTGCTTGCCTGAAGTTGGCCCCAGCCCTGTGCTGCGGTTGCACCGTCGTCTTGAAGCCGGCCGAGCAGAGTCCGCTGTCTGCCCTTTATTTGGGCAAATTGATAGCTGAAGCTGGTGAGTGATATGCTTAGATTCGCCTTACTCTACAACTAAATCGCCAACCCAACCGATTCGAAGTCTTCTTTACACGACTTTAGGCTTCTATCTTATGCACAGTCTTTCAGCTGGCGACGCCTAATTAGTTTTCACTAGACTTCCAAGCGGCTTTTACTCTGAAGGTCCCTTTGATGGAACAAACAACACAGTCAGCCGACTTCACGCCAGATGGACGATATGTAGGCGCTTTGTAGATAAAATCGGGCCAGGGCCTATGATGGGCTGGACTGAAGTAGAAAGACACTTTCCGGTCTATACGAGAAGCGTTTCTGCTCCAAGCCCTCATGACAAAACTTCATACATTAAGGTTTATTCAGAGTTTTTTCCCCATGGCTACCTATTCGCTTGACATCACCCTTGCGTTACTATGAGTTGAAGACTTTACTGCATAACTATTTAGCTTTTTCTTGTGCCTAAACCGACTTCTGTTCCAGGCTTTCCACCGGGCGTAGTCAACGTAGTGCCTGGCTACGGTGAGACGGCAGGCGCCGCTCTTTCCACTCACCCTGATGTAGATGCCGTCTCATTTACCGGAAGCACCGAAGTCGGCCAGCTGATCACGAAGGCGGCGGCATCCACGATCAAACGAGTAAAGCTCGAGCTGGGTGGGAAGTCGCCGCTCGTCATTTTCGCCGACTGCGACTGTAAGTCATCTCCGGCCCCCTCACAAAAGATGCTTCAACAATTATTATTGCGGTTTTCATTGGCGTTGATACATGCTTTTTTTATTAGCTTACCTGAAGGTGATGCTCAATTTCATTCATGAGTACAAATGATCATTAGTCCAAACTAATATCCTATCTCAGCATCTATCCCACCGTCTTGGCTTCCATGACACTAACTCATCTATTTGTTCTGACCAATTTTGACACTCGGTGGTAAGGATGTAAATACTCCATTAATTCATGCAGTTTTACGATTTTGGCTCTTAGTGTCTTTCGCTTAACCAACCGAATCTTGGAAGCTCCTCACACTTTCGCTGAGCCTTTGCCGCTTGCTCTAGTACAAAATATGACCTGATGTAGATGATAGTTTGGAAGTTTGACTCATCCTGGAGTCTCATGAAAAATGATCTGTGGCTCCTAAATGAGGTATTAACTCCTCTTAACGATAGCTTTTAATGAAGAGCCTGATACTCAGGCCAGACCGCTTAGTTATTTTATTAACTGGTAACATCTCAGTTAGCCTCTTGAATTACTCATTGAAATTAAATGTTGTTTGGGATTCGTCCCATTGCTTTCACTCTACAACTTATATAATTCAGCAATGGTTAATCACCTACCAGGCTGGCTTCCGGGTTATCCACTTAATTAAGCGCTTATATAGGTACATGAGCTGTACTTAGTATTTCGTTTAAGGTGATGAAGGTCTAGTAGTTGAATTTCCCCACAATGATATGAGTAGACATGACGTCTCCATTCAATTTCGTATAGCCTTGTTTTCCCAAAATGTATTTTATCCAGGCTGGGCTGGACTGCAGATTCGACCTCTCCTGGGTCTTATCAGCATCCCCAGCGGGACTCAAACCATGACAGTACAGCGTGTAATCTCGGCGTGTTAACCACTACGACACATTGCCACGATTGCCCCTGGGTCACTGGGCAGATGCAGATTTTAAGGCAGTCCAAGCATTTTCCCACTTCACCTTCTGGAGTGGGATTTTAGATGAAGCAATTTTATATTTGCAAGAGCAATCAACTACTTTATTTATAATTCGTTTTGAGTAGATTTCGAGACTATCATAAAATCGCATACATGGGCTGTGCTCACCCTATTTAGTTTAGGGTGATGAGTGACTGGTAGTGAAATTCAGTGAGGTTATTTTTCTGATTTTCTTTCTACACCTGATTTTTAGTTGAGAAAGCCGCTCTTACCGCCCATGAATCTGCAATGGTCAACCACGGACAGTGCTGCGTGGCGGCCACTCGTACTTTCGTCGAGGCATCTATATATGACAAAATGGTGCAGCGGCTCAAGGAACTTGCTGAGAGCCGGATTGTGGGAGATCCATTCGATGAAAGCACAATCCAAGGCCCACAGGTGTGTTTACTATGGTTCATGGAAACGCTTCCATTTCGTATGCCTTTAGGATGAACCATCGCCACCATCTCGGGTTAACTACTCTAACGAGTTTTTGCCTCCATTAACCGATCTCGGTTTATTTTGTGAGCATCCTGACGGTAACACCAAAATAGGTCAGGTTCGTCACGATTCGCTTTTTGCGTCCTCAAATGCTTGCACGACCCATTCTGTTACTTTTTTATTATAGTAATGTGGTAGCCCAACGCTAAGCCGAGAATTTTTGTAGATTTGAGCATCCATGTATGGACACGAATATGATTTTTATTTTAGCATAGTTTAGCGAGTATCCTGTCCTATTTTAATCATACGCAACTTTGAGTATGTGATCTGACAAGTGTTTCTTCATTCGTTTTTAAAGCATCTATACTCAATCTGTCCCACACGACTGCATGCTTCTTATTCATCTCTCAACAGGTCGACAAAGTGCAATTTGACAAAGTGATGTCCTACATTGCTCTTGGTCAGAAAGAGGGAGCTCGCCTCGTTACGGGCGGTGGTCGCGTTGGCCAACGCGGCTACTTTATCCAGCCTACCGTGTTCGCCGACGTAACTAACTCAATGCGGCTTGCTCGCGAGGAGATTTTTGGGCCGGTACAGTCGATCCTTCGCTTCACTACATTCGAAGAGGCTGTTCAGCTGGCAAATGACACACACTATGGTCTCGGGGCCGGAGTGTTCACCTCGGACATGGACAAAGCGGTGCGAATGGTCCGAGCTATTCGAGCTGGATCCGTCTGGTGAGAACCAACCGATCCCTTATCGTCTCTCATATCTATCCCTAATTTCACGTTGTCGCGATTTCGTCTGCAGCGATAGTAAAGTCGGGTAATTAACATAGTCTAGGGTCTTTGTTTCGGTGTAGAGAAGTCTGACGACCTCTTTAATCACGAAACCCCTGTACCCGGAATAATAAGGATGACGTGTTTCTTTTTATTTTCACCTATGTATTTCTTGTGCTTAGGCATCTCTGCAGCAGGAGCATTCTCTGGCGCAGTAGAAGTGCCATTCTTTAGCTTTGCCTTTGTCAAAGCACCGGATGGTTTGACTTTCGTTTTTAAGTGGGTTTTAAAGACTACCGGTAGATTTTGAATAAGAATCGTATTCACCCTATTTCGTTTAAAGTGATGATCAATTTTCCCATTCAATTTCACATGGCTTTGTCTCCCATCAGCTATTTTCGCCCAGACAGGTCTTATCAGCGCCCTAAACGGGACTCAAGACTGGCTTGTGGTGGTGCATTGTATAGTCTCGACACGCTAAACACTACGTGCGCCCTGTGTGCGCAGTGGGTAGTGTTGAGACAATAGGCTGCACTGTCACAAGCTGAGTTCGAGTCCCGCTGGAGGCGCTGATGAGACCTGGGCTAGGTCAAAATTGCCGTCCACTTCAGCATGGATGAGATCTTATGTAAATCAAGGCTTTGTGAAATTTATTGGCCTATTTATATCAGTGTAATAAAATTAAATTACCAGTACTTCATCACCTTAAACAGAATGGGACGAATAATCATCATTGTTTTAATTTTTGTCGGATCATACGAGAAATACCATCGCTTTTAATAAAGGCCCCCTAAGTCTCACAGATGGAAACTTGTGGTAGTAGATTATATAAAGCATAAAGATTATCGAAAATATGAAGGCCAAGACGGCGTGGCCCTCGGTATGGTCACAGCCTCCTTTCGATTTATATAAGTAGATTGACCTCGTTTTCAGAACTTGGTCTTGCTTTCAGAGTGACCTTGTCAAAAGTCCTCTGCCATAGTAGTTATCATATTTCCCAGCATCAGACCGTAGACTTGGTACATTCTCAGACATTTCGCCAGCATCATCAATGAGTCTTGCCATTCTCCGCACCAAGCTACAATTCGTCAGAGACGAGTGAAGTCAATCCCAACGTTCTGTCAAAGACGGTGAAAATGTACCACGTCCATGGCCTGCTACTGGGTACTATAATAACACTATCATGACAAAAGGACTTCTAGCAAGGTGCATTCGACTAAGTCACCCTGAAAACAAGACCAAGTTGCGAAAACGTGGTCAACCTACTTCCGTAAAGATTTATGCTACATCTTTTATGCACGTCAAGGCGCTTCATGAGTTTTTGAAGAATTTTTCGCTTGGATGGATAATAAATGATGCGGAATTATAAAGACTCCTCGTCTAGCCATTGCCAGTGTTTACGATTCTTTAGTTGTAGTCAATTGGAAACTGATTTTATCCTTGCTAGGATCACACAGGCTCTGCAAACTTCACCTTAAGCCATGAAACACTTCTATTCTTTATTGTGGTCATACATTTGCTTGGCGAATATCGTCCATTGCCCTCTAGTTACTCCCTCCATTTATGTTCTACAACACGAATCGGTTCAACTCTGCTTACATTGGTTGTAAAATGCTTCCTTACTGGCATCATAGCCCTTATCGCTGCCCCAATTCAATTTACGTTTTTTTTATATTTTAACATGTATCTTTAAACTTACAGGATCAACTGCTACAATTTGCTCAACTTAGCCGCTCCTTTCGGTGGCTTTAAGATGTCTGGGTCTGGCCGTGAACTGTAAGTAATAATAGTTTACTAACTTTTAGGCCATAAATTTTGTTATCATTCGAACCTTTTTTATTGAAATTATCAGCCTTATCGTATTGAACTTCTTAGTATGTCTCTAGTGAGAGATTTAGACCCTAAAATGCTTTCAAGATTTACCATCTATACACTATCAGATGGGTATGAGATCCAGCTTTTTGGCGCGTTTGATGTATTACGGACCAATTTTGGGTGCAATTGTTCAAATAACCGACACCTTCACTCATGGGGTGCGAAGGCCATATGACATCCCCTACTTTTTACTTGGTTGTACTGCATATCCGAAAAAAACTAATGTTCGTCCTTGAGCAGCTTAAACGAGAAGTGCTTGGACTTGTCCTCAGGCCTTTCTTACGATGGACACACCTATCTCCATCACCACTGAGGATGTTCGATATTCCATCTGCCAGGCACGATTCTTCGTCTACTATTAATCAAAATGAATACTCTTTTTGAGTGTACACAAGTGGATTGGAGAAATTTTAATAATCTATGTTTCCTTTTTAGTGGCAAGAATGGGTTGGACTTCTATTCCGAGATAAAATCTGTGTTCTTATCGGCCCCACAGACTAAATAATAGTAATCTCTGAGATGTTGCTAGGACCATGCCAATTTTGTAATAAATTTTAATGACAATTGAGTTTGTTTTCTTGGGACTGGGCGTAAAATAGATTGGAGCTAATTCATGAATATGAATCGTAAGGTCAGGGGATATTGGATTCATACCTTTGCATTATCTCTTAGGCGACTTGATGTCCAGGAGCTTATTTGTCTATATACAAAATTAAGGTGGGCTATCATTTAACTTAACAGCGTGTCAAAATTGCGTTATCGTCTAGGATGGACTTTAGCATCGATCCCAGCAGTCCCAGGACTGCTATCTGATGCTCAGTAACTCTGGTGGTTAGGGGAAAACGGGGGGCTTCGATGGGCTTGAAATAAGCCTCAGATGCATAAGACATAACTAACAATTTTAGCGTAGTCAAAAAATGACAAATACTTAGTGATGCCAGAATTTTCAAGGGTCTACTGCTTTCAAGTGGCGATTCTATGATTCTCTCAGGCTATATCTAGATTTTTATGAGACGGCACTGAACCCCCAACATATCACATGGCAGGCATGAATTGCAAAGCAAAGTCCATGATAGCGATCAAGTCGCGGGACGAGTGTGATGGTTGTCTATCGATGCGAAGGTATCCGCTCTAGCCTGGAGTTGAGAATTACCTTTAATCTCTCATTTCTCATTCGAAATTTTATTTATTTTGGCTGACGCCATTTTTATCTGATATTTTCCCGTCGTATAAATAGGTCTTTGAGATTACTAGTGGATCTGTTATAAGGGCTTAATAATTCCTGAAAACCCACGTATAAAACTGAAAATAGGTGTAGTCGACTACTAGAGTAGAATTGACTATGCTTTGTCGACAATTCCATCAGCTAAATGTGATATGGGAAAGGTCTAGGCTTACTCGAAATTCACTTCTGCTCTGCGACTCATGGCACTCTGGCTCAATAGTTAGTGCGTCGAGGGTACGCCACACTACCAAAATTTGAGTCTTGGTGGGATGCTGATGAGATTAGGCGAAAACTCAACTGCGGTCCAGTCATGCCTGAATGAGACTACCTTCTGGGAAGCAAAGCTACATGAAATTTACTCGATGCATGAGGCGTACTCATACGATAATGTAAGATTCAACTACCATTCATGCTTCACTTTAAACGAAATATAGTGAATAGAAACGTGTCAATTTGTATTTCACGGGAGATTATTTTACGAGTTTTAGTTCATATTTTACAATAGTGTTCAAGTAATTTTTTCTCCAGACTAATCTAACCAAGATCAGATTTTTGCCTTTTTAGCCGAATTATACGTCAGAGAAGAGTCTAGTGCTCATACCTGTGCGGCAACCTTTTCTTTGTCATAAGGATTAAAGATTTTAGCTTTTGATTTTGCTACTTATCAAAAGTCAAGATTCAGTGTGTGAAGAAAATAGTGATCGAATGCAAGATAAACTAAGCAATGCTTCGTAGATGTGAGTAAAAAGATCAGTCTCCTTTCTATATGAAAATTGTTTAACCTCAATAATCAAGAAAAATTGAATACTATGTAACATCCTTAAAAATAGGCACAGGAAGAGAGGAATAAACAAATTTATGAAAAATTCACCAACAAGAAAATGTGCACAACCACAAGCGCCAAGTTTATATGTTTAAAACAAGTTATATGAGATATATTCGCCATATTTCGTTTAAGGTGATGAAGGACTGATAGTAGAATTTTCCCACAATGATATAAGCAGAGCTGACGTTTCCATTGAATTTCACATAGCCTTGCTTTCCCAAAAGTTGTTCTCATCCAGGCTGGACTGCAGTTTCGACCTCGCTTTGGTCTTATCAACACCCCCAGCAGGAGTCGAATCGTGACAGTGCAGAATGGGACCACATTGCCACGAGTGCCCTTGAATCACAGGGCAGATATGAATTTCAAGGAAGGTCAGGCCTTTTGCCATATCATATTCTTTGGTGGGATTGCCGATGAAGCAAACGTATATTTGCTATAACAGTCGACTACGTGTTTGAGTAGAGTTTCGAGACTACCAGTAAATCATTAATATGAGATTACTCATAATTGTTGAAAAATTGTACTACCAGTCCTTCATCACCTTAAACGAAATAAGGTGAATACATCTCAAATTACTGATTTACTGGTAGTCTCGAAACTCTATTCAAATATGAAAAATAATTAACGTAGTCCATTGTTATGGCAAATATACGTTTTTTTCATCGACAATCCCATCAAATAATATATGGCAAAAGGCCTAGCCTTCCTTAAAATTCACACCTGCCC